TGAAGCTACTCTGGGGACCTTAGCCTCTGGTCAAGCAAAGCTCCTTCAGGGCTCTGAGTGCAGGCAGGTGTCTGGGGAAGCTTCAGGCAGCACCTGGGGGGAGGGAGGCCTGAAGGTAGGCCAGGGTCCCCAGGCTTTGAAAGTGCTGCTAGTTTGTCTCAAATTGGTGTCATGTTCCTACACCTCTCTGGGGGTGGGGTGGGTACATCCTTCTGAACGGCAATTAAGAGTGTAATGAGAGCTCACTTGCATTTAGGACAGGCAATCACACACATAAACAAGTAACCCAATCAGCTGGCACATCCTGGTCCTCTCAACTTGCCATCTTTCTTGATTTTCACCACTGATTTCCCCTCTTCTCCCCCCATCCCCAAACCAACGTACACTCTCACCAAATCCTGTGTGCTTCTCTACAGAGCAGCCTTGTCTTCTCCACAGGCAAATCCCACCATGTAACTCTCCCACCTCCCACCCTTCTCTGAGAAGAAGCCCCCACCAGGTGCTAGGGGTCTGACCCCCTCACTTCTTTGCCCCATTTTCCAGCCACGACTCCTTTCCTCCATGTTGCGGTCATATGACTGGGGGTGGTGTTGCCCACCACTCGGGGACACTGGAACTATGTAGAGACATGTTTTGATTCAGAGTTGCCACAGGGCCAGGGAAAGGGGGAGAGAAGGTGTCTTTGTTCATCTGTGTTGCCCACTGACTGGGTAGTTCACAAAAAACAGAAATTTATTTCTCACAGTTCTGGAGGCCAGGATGTCCAAGATCAAGGTACTGGCTGATTCAGTGTCTGGCGAGGGCTCCTTCTCACTGGGTCCTCACGTGGTGGAAAGGACAAACAAGCTCTCTGGGGTCCCTTTTCTAAGGGTACTAATCCCATTCAGGAGGGCTCTACCCTCATGACCTAATCACCTCCCAAAGGTCCTAATACCACCACCTTGGGGGTCAGGTTTCAATACATTTCGGGGAGACAAAACGTTCAATCCATAGCAGGAGGTTCCTACATTTACTGTACAGGGCCAGAAAGGCTCGGTGTCCTGAAACACTAGCCAGAGTCTGACAAGTAACAGCCCAGGATCCACCCCCACCCCATGGCCTCTTCTCCATGAGCAGGAACATTTCTTTTCCCCTTCTTCCCTGTCCCCCCCCCGCCCTGTCTGACCACCCACTCCTCATCTGTCAAGAACTTAATATCACTTCCTCAGAGAAAACTCTCCCTGACTCACTAGACAAGGTTGTGTCCCTGTACTGTAGTCTCCACCCACAGCCTGTAGGACTCAGCACGTTGGTAATTAAATAATTATGTCCAAAATCCCTGCCCACCCTCTCTGACCTCAGGTGAGCCTGCAGAGCGCAGGAGAGGCAGCGTTGGGCTGGCGGACGTCTACACTCACTGGGCTCTCGGAGGGCCTGGCACGTCATATGCCACAATTTTGTTCCTCTCCAAACACAATACCATGTCCTGGGTTTAACCCTCCCTAAACTCTCCCCGGGAATACCCAGAGACTTGTCAAGTATCCTTGCCACCATCTTCCCTTCTACCCTTCACGTTACAAGACGTGCTAGGTTCATTTTCCCAAATTGCTCTGACCACAAAACTCTCCTTGATCTAAGTTCTATATTGACCCTTCAATGACAAAGCAATTAAGTCCCAGTTTCTTAACCTCACACTCAAAGCCCTCTGCAATCCTGCCTTCACCTGCCTTCTCAAACATCTCCCACCTTCCACCCTCAGGTGCTGAGGCTCACAGTTTTCCACACCTGCTCTGAATTTCCCTACTTTGTTGGGTTCTTCCCTCCACTGGACTTCATGGCTAAACCTAAGTGTTACCTCTGCTAAGAAGCCATTAGTAACTCCAAATGAAAGGCATCTCTCAACCCTCGGAAATCTGACAACACTTTATCTGCACTTTACTTCCAACAGTTATTTTTTATCTTCCAATAGAGTTATTCATGTGCACATCTGCTATGGTCTTAATGTATCCCCCAAAGTTCATCTGTTGAAAACTTTTTTTTTTTTGTCTTTTTTCGTGTCCGGCAACGGATTGCAACCCTCAGTGTTGCGCCCGTACTGGACCGGGACCAGCAACGGTATCGCAACCCTCAGTGTTGCGTCCACACCTCGCTCAGCCAGTGAGCGGAACCGGTCTGTATGTGGGATCCGAACCCTCGGCGGGAGCGCCGCCACACTCCCAAGCGGCGCACTGTAGCAGTGCGCCACCAGGCCAGCCCCCATCTGTTGAAAACTTGACTCCCAATGTGACAATGTTGGGAAGAGGGGCCTAATGGGAGGTGTGTGGGTCATGGGGGCACCACCCTCATGAATGTACTGATGCTGTTATCACTGGAGTGGGTTCGTTATCGAGGGAATGGGTTCCTTATAAAAAAGGAGTTCAGCCCCCTTCTGTCTTTTACTCATGTGATGCCTTCCACCAAACCCTCACCAGATGCCAGCTCCTCGATTTTGGACTCCCCAGCCTCCAGAACCATAAGCTAAATAAATTTCTGTTCATTACAAATTACCCACTCTGTGGTATTCTGATATAGCAGCAGAAAATAGACAAAACCTAATCTCCCTTTGCAGCCTACAAACTCTTTGAAGACCCACATTGACATATTTATTTATCACCCTTAAAATCCTCCACCATGCCTTTGACATGAATATAAATGTCACATGCATGAATAAGGTTATTAAGCAATAATGTAATAATTTTTGTTCTGTACTGATTGTTTTATTTACTTATTTTCAATTACAATTTATTTATCTGAAAGTTCAACTTATTGTTATTTATTTACTATTATTATATTCAGCTCCCACTTATGAATGAGAACATGTGGTATTTCTCTTTCTGTGCTTTGCTTATTTCACTGAACATTATTTTCTCCAAGCTCATCCATGCTGCTGTGAATGGCAGAACTTAGTTCTTTTCTATGGCTGAGTAGTAGTCCATTGTGTATATATGTCACGTTTTCTTTATCCAATTTTCCATTGATGGACATTTGGGTTGGTTCCATACTTGGCTATTTTGAATAGAGGTGCAATAAACATAGGATTGTAGGGCTCTGTACTGATTGTAAAAAATTAGAAATTAATTCTAAAATATTCATTCAATTTGTTAGAGAAAGTAAATAAGAACACCAATGGCCACCTCTTGTTCTATACCGATACACTTAACATTTTCAATTTATTCCACCTTGAACAGTTTCACTCAATAGGCTATTGTTTACAAAAGAACAAAAAGAAAACCCCTATTCTGAAGGCTCACTAAATCCCATGAAATAATGACTCTAACACTGATGATGATGGTGATAATAATAAAAAGGAAAAAAAATCATCTTAATGCTAGACAAATAACCAGATTTGGGGGAAACTGATAGGGGCGGCAGAACCTAACTTAAAATTCACTTGGTGAATTTAGATAAATCGGCGACTGTTAGGAGTCTACTCCCTTTTAAACACTGACCACTTTAGGTGAATGAATGAATTTGCATAATGGAATCCAGGCAAACTACAGCAACTCAACCATAAACTATAAGCTACAAACTCAAAACACACAATCATAACTTCAGGATTAAAAAACCATCATCTCTACTGCAGAGGGGCCACATTAGTTTCTTTTGAAGCAGGCAAGTAAATGACCATACTGTAAAACTTCTGAGAGTCCAGAGGCGAGCACTTTTGGGCTACGATCATAGTACAACGTCCAGATAAAAAGAGTAAGGGGTTTGGAGATGGTACCTGTGGCCAGTTCATGCTATTTGCTGTCTCTTCCTAAGTACAAAAGCCTGGGCTCAGGTACAAAAGGACAATTGTCAAAATTGTTCTTGTGCCTGTCATACATATTGCTTCCCATCACTAGTCCATCCTACCATGACACCAGATGCTGCTTCACCAAAATGTCACAGCTTCTGAAACTGAATCACATCCAACGCTCTTATTCTTGCAGAGCCTTGCTTAAAAGACCATTTTTAAACAAATCAAATCCACTATGAGTAAAGATGAACCAAAGGAAAGCTTTAGAGTTAAAAGAAAATGATTCACTAGAATGCCCTTTTAGGGGCGAGTCCAGAAGCAGAAAAGTTTATTTTCTGATCTAAAGATGCAGGGACCCTTGAAGGAAAAGGAGTTCTGATGGAATTGAAAGAATGGGGCACAGGGCACAATAAATTGGCACGGTATGCATTTGCTCTGTTGGTATTTGATAGGTTAAAGAGTATCAGTGAGGATGAATCATTTCTGTTTGAAGCTTAAAACACACTGAGGCAGTAACAAAGAAGCTTGGAAACTTTATATTCTTTGGTTTTCTGAACAATAAAAGGCCTTGTCTAGTCAACATTTGGAGTAATTTTTCCCAGGGGGATTATTACTACTTGAGAGGGATGAAAGAGTAGCATTCTCATGACACGTTTTCATTTTCTGAGACTAAAGAGATGTCTCTTCAGGAGGCCACACTTTGGATGCACTAAGAAGTGAGAACGAGCACGGAGTCTTGCCCACTTCTCACACACCTTCTTCTAGATGTAGAGAAAGAATACAACCAATCTGGAGAATCAGTCCTCAAATACACTATAACTTCAAAAGGTGTATGTCAAGGAAAGAAGACTCTTTCAGAAAACTAGGAATAAGATTACACTCTTCAAGATTCAAGTCATTCTGCATATAGGTATGTGAGGCTTGGAAAATGAAACCCCAGTAATTAAGAGAATGTCAAAGTCACAGACAAGTGGCACTAATATTTCAGTATAGTACAGTGCTTTTCTTCAAGATCCTCAACTCGAACAGTTATTAAATTGAGTTTAGAATTTCTAGTGTTCAAACCTATAAGCTATAAACCTGAGACTCGCTCTCATCAGATTTTAGGTATGTTTTTCCTCTAAAATGTGTTCTTGTGATCTCTCGTTCTGCAGAATTTGAAAAAAAAAAAAAAAAAGTGACACACTGGCACCAGCGGGGCTGCAAAGCGACTTGCTGACAGTTGAAATCATGAAGCCATTACCGTGCTCCAGCGCTTTCATGGGAAACCAGAAGAGGATGAGGGAGTGGACCAAGGCATTGATGCAGTGACCCCAGAAGACCTAAAGGAAAACAAACCAGGGGAGTCAGGAGCTGCCGTAGCCTCGACGTCTGCGTCCTTGCCACAAACACCGCACTGTGAAGGACCTGGCACTGCTGTAGTTCCAGAAGCAGCATATGCTTCTCAAGTTAAAACAGCAGCAACAACTATTTCCTCATTTTTACACATAAATGACTGGACTATCTCCAGATAATATTACTTTAGTACAATGAGTACATAAATATACTTGTATATCCACATATATGTTATGATCACTTTTCGTTGTAAGAGAGATGACATCTTACAGTCATTCACAAACACAGCATTAGGTCAAAATTTTTAATAAGAGACTAAAACGGTATACTTTATGAAAGCATTAAAAAACATTTTACATGTAAATTCTTACACAGCATTCTCTTTTGTTTCACTTTTTAAATCCCTGCTATTCAATGTTTTCTTTAATTAGGGGGATTTTGGTAAATATCACGCACATTGAAAATTTTTCTTTACTTTAATGCTTGAAAGGTCAAGCGAAAGAACACAAAGTTTAGTTTATTTTAAACCATAGTTTCATTAATGCATTTCAATCATATTTTTAACCACCAAGATGACAGAATTCTTAAAGCCAGATTAAATGTATTTAAACGTCTACGAGTTGTTCTGGGAATTGTCACATTGTTTGATCTTCAGTAATGGTGGGACAACAGAAAATAATAAAAAACATTATTATAAGACAGTGTGATTTTTTTCCCATTTTAAATGTTCATTTTGCTCCACCCTTTTCCTGTCCTCTCTCTAACTGACCCCAAAATAAACAAACAAACAAACAAAGTTCTTGAAAGTGCCTACAGACAACTCCCAGGGCATTCTCAGCTCTGCTACTTCTGAGATGGGTCCATTCTCTACTTCCCACCTCAAACTGCCTTTGGGTTCAAACTCTCTAGAAAACATTCGATTTTTGTAAATAATGTAGAGAAATCAGTTCATATTTTCCCATTAATAGAATTATAGGAAACAAGGACTGATAAAATTAGTCACCCAAGTCTCATTGTATATAGAAGAGAGAACTGGTAGGACCCTTCTATGTTTTTCCAGTCCCAGATAGGCTTATGAGCTTGCCCAGAATGAGACAGCTGTGAGGGACAGCGACCAGTGGCATCCGGCTCAGAAACAGAGCCTTCAGAGACTGTTCTCTTATTGAGGCCGGGGGAGGTGACTCTCTGTGCCAGCCTCACTAAGGTCTCAGTAGCCACCCACGCACAAGGTGAACACAAGCAGCGCACAGCACTGTCACTGAGCCAGGCCACGAGCCTCTGCACGAAACCTAAGAAACATGAGCACACATCTTGCTCACATCTTGCCTCCTCTGCAGGTGAGGCACGTGTCTTCCCTTTAACATCCTCCCCCGGCTTCCACTTGGGTCATCTCAGAACTACCTATAATAGTAGTTTGTAGTAGTAGACAGCAGAACTACCTATACTAGTTCTTTTTGTCTAGATGCTCTCTCTTTTCTGATTCTCCAGTCTGAAAAAAATAAGCAAAACAAAACAAAAAAACTTCACAACTCGCCTGATCCCTGCGATCCTAGCTACTCAGTGGTGCTTAGCAGCTAAAGGGACATTTTCTTTCCAGTGAAAAGCCTGGCAAGAGCCAGGCAGGCTTGCCGGCTGCTGCTCCGGGCCCGGGGTGGGGCTGTGGCCCACAGTGTCGTCGTTGGAGGCTCGTGTGGAGAGGAGGAAGGGCTGACAAGCTGGAACCGAAAGCAGCACCCCGCACAACATGAGGCTGCACCCCAGAAAGGCATCCCTGATCCACGGGCTTGCCATGCTGAGGGCAGGGTCACGGTCTCTCCCAGGCTTCTCAAGCAACGGCTGGAGCCAAATGACCAAAGGCAGTGTATGCTTTTCTGAGGGACAGTTCTGGAATCACATTCTGTTTACCTTTGTGTTGAAGCCTTCAGCATTCTGGGTGATTTTGTAGAGCTGTGGAAACCTGAGCATGCTCTCCTGCGTGCAAGACCTCTCGAAGATTCCCAGAGTGAAGGGCGGCAACGCAGTGAAAATCTGCAAGGAGAACGAGCCATTCAGAGTGGCCCCTGCACCTCCCACAGCTGCAGTTCTGTGGAGGGGCGACTGCCATCAAGACCAAACCCAAGGTCCCATGACTCACGGCTCCCCAGGCACCCTCCAAACAAAGAATGAAAGAAAGACGCCTTTTTATTGTTATTCAGTGTAACATGAATACACCAAACACTAGAAACAACATCAATACTTGATGAGCCAAGAAACCTCTTTACATGAACAACTACATTCCTCGTAAAGCGAGCAGCGGTGCAGGGTCACACCACAGCAGGCCCGGAGTAGTCGTGCAACTGCCCGTCCTGACTCTGTACCCAAATTGCAGGAAGCACGATGTACTTCATCCACGTAGTCACTCAACAGACACTTGCTGCGCATGAGTTACAGGTCACATACTGTGATAAGCACCAGGAATACAGAGATTTAAATACGGAAAGAAGAAAACAGAAGGGGGAAGAGGGATGAGGGAAGGGAAGGGAGCAGATCCCCGACCTTCAGGAACTCTGTCTACTGCAGAGGTGGGGACAGGAGCCAGCAGGGCAACAGGTATGTGGATAAATGTGTAAAACACAAGGCTCTGCAACAGTACTCATGGGGAGGGCACTGGCCCCAGCAGACAGACCAAAGCAGAGTGGAGTCAGTCCTGCGAGGTGCTGCTTAATCCAACTCGACTTCCAAGTGGGCCACTCTTCCAAAACAACAGGAGATTCACAGCAACCAGATGGGACTCAGTGTACCTGAGCTCACATGATAAGGAATTTATAAGGAAAGTAACTTTGAAATGACCAATCTGTCCCGTTTCTGCTTTTTTCAGCCCATTTCTGCCTTTAAAGCCAATCCCCTCTGCTCAACTACTGGAGCACCCATTCTGCTTTACAGAATGAGAGGTTGCCCAATTCTAGAATCACTTATAAAAGCCAATTAGATCTTTAAATTGGTGTGATTTTTGTCTTTTGATGAGGGAACTTCTAAGACACACAGAATGGTGGCCGGCTGAGGGCACGGTGTAACTAAGCCAGGGATGGGACGGAGACCAAACCACCTCCTGTGACAATGCATTCCCGGGCAGATGGTGCCTTCTAAGACTTTAACCTTTGCCTGTACTCTGTAGGAGTGTGACAGGCTCACATTTGTGTTTTGGAAAGATAAAACCAGGTGCTGAAGAAGGGGTTTGGAAGAAATGTGTCATTTCAGTCTAGGATGTGCTGTGGCCCCGAAGGTCACTCTCCTACTTGGTTCTGGGCATGGTCCGTAGAGACTGGGTCACTCACGGATTAGCATTAGCACTGATGGAATCCACACCCCCCACCGCAGCCAGCTTGCAATCCCGTGGGACTCAGATGTGTGGCTCTAAGAGAATCCTGAGCTCACACCAGTTATTTGGAGACTGAGTATACGCCACAGAAATAAGCCTCCCCCGAGTCTGTTAGGATCAAGCAGCACCTGGAGTGAGTTAGGCCAAGAAGATTCTCGTGCTCCCATTTCAGCCTAGAGCAAGTAGAAAGCAGCGGCCCTGGGACTTCGATGTGCTGCAGAGACTTCAAGGAGAGATGGATGGAGAGCGGCCACACTCACTTCCCCCACTAACACAAGTTGTCTGTTTATAGCTAGAAGGAGGAGCTTCCTGTCTCAGGAGCTCTGCACACTTTCTTGGTACACAGCGTCACCTCCATTGCTCTGCAGCAATGGGCACATGCAACGTCACGCATGTGGTTCATACTGTCTTTCTTCGTTTCCGTTTTTACTTGACTTTCTCCTTCTATCCACTTCAAATCCCCTCACTCGTTACTAGGCTAACAGCCCCGTATGCCCTACATAGCTTTTCCTCTGCTCGTAACATAGCACTTGCATACACGTAGGCTGGCTGTGGGTCATGACTTGTTTTACTAAAGCGGACATTATACACATTTTTCTGCATCATGCTTTTCTTGCTAAACAATGCATCATGGAAAGCCTTCCGAGTCCCTTGGGTATGATGCTAATGCAGTCTTTTTAATGCTCACATAATAATTCATAGGATGGATCTACCATATTTTTTCGGCCATTCACCACTGACAGGTATTCATTTTGTTTCCAGTTCTTTGTTACTGCAAACATTATGTCATAAACATCTATAATATAACATACATACTTTTTCTTTTATTTCTGTGGGAAGCAGTCCCAGCAATAGGGTTGCTGGGTAAAAGAACACATGCATTTTTAATTTTACTAGATGCTGCCTGGTTGTTTTCAAAAAAGGTTCCAATCCTTTATCTCTCCCTGTGCAAAGGACAACAGCAACCTTTCCCTGCTTCCCTATCAGCAACGGTTGTTATATTGGTCATTTACTATTCTCCAGCCTGAAAAATGAAAGACATTAAACTCTTACTGTAAAAATTTACATTTCCCCACCTACCAGTGAGTTTGGACAGGTTTTCACACACTTGTTGACCGTGTGGATTTGCAATTCTGTGAAATGTCCAGTCAAGTCCTTCATTCATTGTCTACTGGGGGTTCATACCCTCTTCGAGGAGTTCTTTGAGTACCATCATCAACTGTCTTTATGTTACAAAATTTCATCCAAATACACTTGCATATTGGCTTTTTAAATGTTTTAGGGTTTTTTTTTTTGTCATATAAAAACTTTTAATTTTTAATTGGTCAAGAAAAGCTTCTGGGTGTCCAACTGTGGTTACAGAAGTTTCTCTTCCCTGGAACTTACATGTAGTTTTCAGGACTGTCTTATAGGATTCTTACAGTTTTATTTTTCATTTATTTAATCTTTAATATATGTGGAATTTATTTTTCTGTTTTGGGAGATGGAATCCAGTTTATTTCGCAGATAAAGAGCCAGTTGTGAGAACATAATTAATTAATCCAAACTTTTCCCACTAAATTGAAAAATAAACTTAATATTTACCAAGCTCTTATGTATTAAAGATCTAGAATCTAGAACTGGGATCTAGTTCTACAATCTCTGACTTATTTGTCTAGTTTATACTAATAACAGTGATTTGGCTATAATGGTTTTATAGTATAGTCTGATGTTTAGTAAAGATAAGTCTGCCCTTACGATCTTTTTTGAACATGATTTGCACATTTATTCTCAGGTATTGGTTAATTCTATTTATACCTTAATATAATTTTATGCAACTCCCCTCTCCCTGCCTCCTGGACAATCACCTGTTGGGATTCTATATGAAATCACATAAAGTTAAATATTAATTTTAGAAGAGTTGGTTCTTTTATAATAGTAAGTGTTCCCATACAAGAAAACAGTGCATTTCCATTTGTCCAAATTTTGTTTTTTATCCTTCAAAGAGACATCATTTTTTTACATAGGTACTATACAAATTATTCCTATGCAATGTATAATTTTAGTTCCTATCTTGAGAGGAATTATTACTCCATTTGCATTTCTAGGTGCCCATCTCTAGAGTTTATAAAAAAAGAGAAAAAAAGCTACTGATCACTAGGACAGAAAAAAGCTATTGATTTTTATATATTTATCATTTATCTAGTCATCTTATCAAATTCTCTTATAATTCTAGTATTTCTCTACTTGTATCTTTTGGGTTCTCTATATTAAACAATCATATATGAACATATTTACATGACCATATTTTTGTGAGCATATTTGCATAAACACTGAAATTATTCACCATTTTCCCAATATTTGTAATTTAGCAGTTGCTAAAAATTCCAGAACAACCCTGAATTATATAGTGATGGCAGGCATCTTGACTAATTTCTTATTTAAAATGAAATAGTTTTAGAATTTTACCATTTATGGCAACACTACTGGTTTTTATTTTTATTTTTTTTATTTTTTTATTTTTTATTTTTTATTTTTTTTTGTCTTTTGTCTTTTTCCGTGTCCGGCAACGGATCGCAACCCTCAGTGTTGCCCCTGTACCGGACCAGGGACCGGCAACGGGATTGCAACCCTCGGCGTTGCTCCCACGCCTCGCTCAGCCAGTGAGTGGGAACCGGTCTATACGAGGGATCCGAACCCTCGGGCGGGAGCGCCGCTGCGCTTCCCAAGCGGCACACTATCCAGTGCGCCACCGGGCCAGCCCACTACTGGTTTTTATAAATAGTCTGAATTATAGTTCATTGTCTTCTTTCTATTCCTATTTTATTTACAATTCTTATTTTGGGGATGGCAGCTGAATTGCTTCAAATAGTTTCAAAGCATCTACTACTGGGATCACGTTTTTCTTCTTTATTTTGTTGATACAGTGATATTTAGAAAGATTTTTTATTTTGAACCTCCTGTATTCCTGAAATGAACCCTACATGGTCAAATACTTTATTCATTTAATACATTGTTGAACTCCATTTGCTGATATTTTACATAGAATTTTTAAATTTACTTTTATAAGTGAGGTTGGTGCAGTCTTCTTCAAATTATGGCGACTTGATAATAGTATTATTTTTCTAAAACAGCTTAAATAACATTAAAGTTATTTCTTCACTAAAAATATATAAAATTTAGCTGAAATCCCTCTGATTCTGGCAGCTTTTGTACCATTCTACTCACAAAATAAAATGATAAAGAAATTCAACTATGGATACAGTGAGAACGTAATGGGACAGCGTTCATTCATTATTTAGGGAGATGCAAAAGTTTCAAAGTCCATTTTAACACTATTTAACTTACTATGAGAATCAAATTGAGAAACAGTGGTTTGCCACTTTAGCTGGCTTGGGGGATCAACATAAATAGTAAGAGTATGGCTGGCCCGGTGGCGCACTGCTACAGTGCGCCGCTTGGGAGTGTGGTGGCACTCCCGCCAAGGGTTTGGATCCCACATACAGACCGGTTCCCGCTCACTGGCTGAGCGAGGTGCGGGCGCAGCACCGAGGGTTGCGATCCCATTGCCGGTCCCGGTACGGTACTGGCGCGACACTGAGGGTTGTGATCCGTAGCTGGTCACGAAAAAAGACAAAAAGGGAAAAAAAAAATAGTAAGAGTAGACGCAGGGAGGGCAGGAGAGAAACATGTGTGAAGGCAACGTCATGGGGGGAATCGGCCTAGATCCAGTCACTGGCAAATGCGCCTCCTGTGTCACAAACTGCCTCCTGCAGTGACCTTAGACCAAAAGAAAATTGCTAAATAGGATATCACTGGAACAATAAAGGCAAAATTGGAATATGGACTAATATGGATTAGATCATAGTACTGTATCCATGGTGAAATTTCCTGGTTTGATCATCACTCTGGTTATGGAGGTCTTAGCAACTATGCACTAAAGCATTAGGCATTAAAGGGGCACGATGTCCGTAACACACACTCAACTGGTTCAGAAATAAGTGTGTGCACACATGTGAACATGTGTGTGCATGTATGGACATAAGGGCACATGTGTGGGCGTGTGCGCATGGGCACAAGTGTGGAGAGAGAATGCAAGTTGGGGCGAGCTGCTAATAATGAATGAATCTGGGTGAGGAGTACACAGGAGTTCTTTGTACTCTTTTTTAACTTTTCTCTAAATTTCAATTTATTTCATATGAAAGTCACCAAAACACTTTCCATGGGGCAAACCTCCATGTTCTCAAAAGGTCTGGCCCTTCCAGCATGAGCAACTCTGGAGGCCAGCGACCTCGAGCCCACTGGTGGACCCCTTGCTGTGCCCACTGGAAACACCTTCTCTGCCAGCGCTACCTGGTGACCTGCTGCAAAGCCTGTGCCATCAGCATTGAGGTAACTCAGGGCCATTTCACCTCAAAATCCATTTCTGTGCTGCAATGTGCCCTTCTCTATAGTTTGGGGAATGCAAAAATGCATAGAACATATTCCCAACCCTAGGGATCAAAGGTCACTGTGGGTCTTAATCTTTAACATAAATAACAATAACTAGAGTACCTCTGAGATACTCTTTAATTTGGGGTAGGGCTCAGGAATCTGCATTTTTCAAACAAACCCTAGTTATTTTCCTGCAAGAGGTCTGTGGGACTTACTCTGAGCAACACTGACCTTCAGAATACCGTCAGCCTATGTACAGAAGGCACTCAATAAAATTAGTTGGATTGATTTGAACTGCACAAGGCTGCATGGAGCTCAGAAAGAATCCAGCACTCATTCCCTGAGCATGAAAATCAGGCTAAAATCCACTCATCCTATAAGCAGGGGACACGCACTGCAGTCCTGTCCTTAGCTCTAAGGCAGAGCCTCCTAGACTCCCACTTCCTATTTATAAAAAGGTACCTACCATGGGTTTGTGTAGTTATCAACTCTATGACACTTGGCCCTTTGCTGTGCTGAATCATTATGGAGCAGTCAGCACATTTTCCCTAAAAGGCTGCATAACTATAACCTACTCGAAATAATGTTGAGTCCTGCGAAGTTAACAATCTCTGGTCTCCCCTTCGTATACAAAGGAGAGACCATTAAGCCCCTATCCATGGGGTAAGTGGTTAGAGCAGCTATTCTAGCGCAGGAGAGAAAGGAACATGAATTCAGCCCTGCTCTCCCCAGCGGTCACCTCAGTCTTTTAGGGTGTCAGTATCGGCATGTACGTACTAGTGTGCTCTGCAGCGAGTAACACAGTTACTGACTGATGGAGTTTAAACTCAAGATCCGAACCTAGCCGTGGTGACGTCGGAGTCCGCACATCTGACCCTCTTAACTTGTAAGCCACACAGGGCTGGGGCAAGCTGCTGATATCTGGCATTTTACACCCCACACCCACTGTGGCAGCTGCTCAGAAAAGAGGGTGAATACATGGATGGCTTCAGTATCCAGCCACCAACCTATACACAAACTGTACATATTTATAGCACCACAAGTTGTGTTATTGTATGTCTGGTAACTTCCATCCATGCCTATCTATGCTGGCTGCTTCAGAATGTAAACTGCCATGGAGCAGAGAATGCCAGTCAGCTTCCATAGCACGTGACAGAGCACAGATCAAGAGACGGGCCATCCTGGGGTCTCTAAAGCAACCAGCTGCCAGCCACCGACTTCTTCCTGCCAGCGAAACAAAAAGCAAGAAAGCTACGCAGCCACTGAGTCCTTTCAGCTTATAGTTTGTATTTATTTCTAGCATTCAAATTCATTACAGTGAAATAATAAAGAACTCGAAAACCATCAAAAAAAATAAATAAAAGCTGATTACCATTCTCCACAGTAGCTGTAAGTCAGAATTCATTATTTTAGCACTCGTTGTGAATAAAAAGTTCTTCCAGAGGGACAGATATGTTTTCAAGAAGGACAAAAAGGACACTAGGTCATGTGCTGTATACTCAAATCTACGTTTAAAAGTAGAGAAGTAAAATTATGAAGTGAAATGCGTTTAGATGCAGAAATTTTCCCTTGAGCGAAAAACATGAAAATGTTGTGCAGGCATTTAGTAAAGGGGTAAAACAAGGGTCTATTATCAAGATATATGGGTTAATAATTTCATGGGGTTATTCAAGAATGATCTGCTATGATTGAAACCATGTGTGGAGAGTTTGGGCTTCTGCAGGATGTGTCACAGCAACAAAGGCCCTAAAGATGTATTTGTGCTGCCTGCTAAGTACACAGATGATTGACTTAGATACACTTCCCAGACATAAACAGTGAAGGAATGTCACTGAAGTTCTGCATGCTATCAGAGGGAGACAGAGAATGCTTACCACGTTGTACAAGCCGATGCACCAACGTTCAAATAAAATCTGTCCAGAAAATCCATTAACAAAGGCGAACCAAAGCTGAAAGAGAAGAAAGTTCATGAAGTTTTATATCAATATTGACCTAAATGTTTCCATTCTCTGAAGAAGTAGCAGGGAATGTGGACCACCAGCTGGACACAGCTGCTGGGAGAATGAGACAGGCCGCAGCAGCAATGCTTTCATACAGCATAAATCCCCGATGTCACAGCCAGCCATATTCTAAGGAACGATCAATTTTAAGAAGTAATACACATGTGTTTACAGAAAAACAAGTTACATTTAGTTTATATCTAATATAGTTTGTGTCAACACTTTTTCTTTGTCAGGAAGAGTTTCAACTTCATGCTCTTTTTCTATTAAAGGTGATTTGATAAATATGATTTTTTCGTAGGACTTTCAAATAGATAAAAATGATAAATAATAATCAACAACAACTCCTCTATTGGTCATGTGTGTTCTTCGTTCATAAATCTTGACCCTCCTTTACTGGACATCCATCAAAACACAATAATATGAAAGAATCATGGTCTAATAATATTTTAGAGTAATATGGGATGTATAACTCGATAAAATATAGATTATTCATGCTTTCAAGAAGCCTATAGTTCTAGGGGCCGGCCCGGTGGCGCACTGCTACAGTGCGCCACTTGGGAGTGCGGCGGCGCTCCCGCCGAGGGTTCGGATCCCACATACAGACCGGTTCCCAC